ACAAGAACAACCAGCGCTCAGCCCTCAATGTCCCCTGCACTACTTCAGTGTCATTGTTCTTCTAAGTTCTCAGTGCTGTCTCATGGGGTTTCCTCCCTTCCATCCTCCTCTCAGCTCTGGTCTGCTCTCTGGTTGACCCTGGTGCTTGGCTCAGGTAGATGTGTTAACATTAAGCTGTTCAATGTTCAATCAACAAGAATGTATTATGAGATGACTATACTCCTGTCACTGTGCCAGGCATTCAAAAGAATATATAATTCTTTTTTATTCTATATAGGCCAATATAAATGTGGCCTCTGCCCTTAAAGTGCTTCCATCTAATTCATGAAAAATGGTTAACATACCTGAAGATGATAGAGCTTAACTGGAGTTAGAGGGCAGGGCCTATTATGTCCATGAGGGCAAGAGTCATGTCCATTGCATTGTTTCTGAATCCTTAGAACCTAATCTTCTGCCTGACATGGAGTGGATGCTCAGTGAAAATCTGTTGGTAGAATGAATGAATGAATGCTAGCATATTAGAATGGCATCATGGAAGAAGCGAAACTCAAAACAGGTGTTGAAGGATGGCAAGAAGGAGGGATTGATGTAGACAAAAAGGAGCAAGAGCACATTATTAATGGAAATAAATACAGTTGCACATCACTTGACGACTGGATATGTTCTGAGAATTTGTTGTTAGATGGTTTTGTTATGCAAACATCATAGAGCACACTTACTCAGACAAACCTGGATAGTATAGCTTACTACATACCTAAACTATATGGTATAGCCTATTGCTCCTAGACTATAAGCCTGTACAGCATATTACTGTACTGAATACTATAGGCAGTTGTAACACAATGGTAAGTATTTGTGTATCTAAACATGGAAAAGGTACAGTAAAAATGTAGTATAAAAGATTTTTTTTTTTTTTTTTTTTTTTGAGACGGAGTTTCGCTCTTGTTACCCAGGCTGGAGTGCAATGGCGCGATCTCGGCTCACCGCAACCTCCGCCTCCTGGGTTCAGGCAATTCTCCTGCCTCAGCCTCCTGAGTAGCTGGGATTACAGGCACGCGCCACCATGCCCAGCTCATTTTTTGTAGTTTTAGTAGAGACGGGGTTTCACCATGTTGACCAGGATGGTCTCGATCTCTTGACCTCGTGATCCACCCGCCTCGGCCTCCCAAAGTGCTGGGATTACAGGCTTGAGCCACCGCGCCCGGCCAAGTATAAAAGATTTTTTAAAAGGTACACCTGTCTAGGGTACTTACTGTGAATGGAGCTTACAGGAAGTGGCTCTGGGTGAATCAGTGAGTGTGTGTGAAGGCCTAGGACACTTTATAAACACTGTATACCAAGGCTACACTAGATTTTTAAAATTTCTTTCTTCAGTAATTAACCTTAGCTTACTGAAACTTTTTATTTAATAAACATACATTTTTCACTTTTTGACTCTTTCGTAATAACATTTGACTTAACACACACACATTATATGGCTGTACAAAAAAATGTTTTCTTTAAATCTTCGTTCTGTAAGCTTTTTCTGTTTTAAAATTATTATTATTACTTTTTAAACTTTTTTGCTAAAATCTAAGACACAAATACACACATTAGCCTAGGCCTACACAGGGTTAGGGTCACGAGTATCATTGCCATCCATCTCCACATCTTGTCCCACTGGAAGGTTTTGAGGTGCAGAAATACACAGGGGGCTGTCATCTCCCATGATAATGATGCCTTCTTCTAGGTACCTCCTGAAGGACCTGCCTGAGGCCGTTTTACAGTTAACTTTTTTTTTCAGTAAGTAGAAGGAGTATAATTCTAAAATAATAATTAAAAGTTTAGTGTAGTAAATACTAGATGATATGGATTTTTCAGCTTTATTGTAAGACTACCATCATATATGCAGTCCATCATCAACTGAAACTCTGTTATACAATGCATGACTGTACAGCGAACTCGGAATGAGGAGTTGTACCTGATTGGAACACACGTTACGTGTATCGATAAGTGTTGGAAAATAAGCCTCTCTCTTTAGGTAGAATGAAAGGAGTTCAGCCCTGTTAAATAATATAAAAAAGAATCATGAATGGTTTTTGTAGGTGAATGAGAGAGTGACAAGGGAAAGAGAGTGTTTAAGTGGTCAGGATTATGGGAGAGAAGCTGGAGTAAGGAAGCTCTGCAAGAAAGTGGCAGTGCAGGCATAGGCAGTGAGAACGCAGAAAGAGACAAATATGAGATTCCCCTGCCCAGCTCCAAGATGAAGTCTTGCTTTGCTGCCCAGACTAGAGTGCAGTGGCATGATCTCAGCTCATTGCCACCTCCCCCTTTCAGATTCGAGTGATTCTCCCACCTCAGCCTCCTAAGTAGCTGGGATTACAGGCATGCCACCACACCTGGCTAATTTTTTAAAATACTTTTAGTAGAGATGGCATTTCACCATGTTGGCCAGGCTGGTCTCAAACTCCTGACCTTCAAGTGATCTACCTGCCTTGGCCCCCTAAAATGCAGGGATCACAGGTGTGAGCCACTGCGCCCGGCCGATATAAGATATTCTGACAGAAATACGACATAATCTCATAACTGGGGAAGGATGAATCCATCATAACCACAAAGTACCTAGCAATCTTATTCAAAGTTGGGAAGGAGAGATTGTTTGTTAAAGGACAGAGTGGTTTTGGATAAGTTAACATAGGGATAATAGTGACCTCCAGTTGCTATCCAAATAGGGATTTAGGTCTTCAGAAGGGTAGAGAAGGTAAATTAGAAATGTAGACTTGAGCATTGTCAGCGTAGAGGTCGTCAAGGAGTCATGTAGTTCTGCAGTGATGGCTATTAATTTCTCCCATAGTGTGCTAGTTAGAATCCATTTTCATAACACTGATACAGATTGAGTATCTCTTATTTGAAATGCTTGGGTCCAGAAGTATTTCTGAATCTGGATTATTTCAGATTTTGGAATATTTGCATTATATTTTACCAGTTAAATATCCCTGACCCAAAAATCTGAAATTCAGAATGCTGCAATAAGCAATTTCTTTGTCATGTTGGTGCTCAAAAGTTTCAGGTTTTAGAGCATCACAGATTTTGGATTTTCAGATCAGGGATACTCAGCCTGTAATGACAGCGATGATAGCATGTAACAGATAAAGCAGCAGCAGCAGCTGAGTTGTATTTGCAGTGTTGATGTCCCACTGAGATTTAGAGCCACACTGAATGTCTAGGTTAGTGATACTCCTAGGAAGTGGGAGGTTTGGGGTTTTCAGAGACACATTGCAAATGACTGGGTGTTTGAGTGAGCTTGGAAGATTTCCATGTTGACTATCCCTTGCCTGTACCTCCAGAGCTCTGCTATAGCTGAGATAGGCTTCCCATGTGATGAGTTATCTTTGCCTTTCATGTGAGGTGCAGATGTACCACTGGACTTCCTCATTAAGCAAAGTAATAAATACTTACCTTTTTTTATTTTTTTTGAGGCAACATCTCACCCTGTCGCCCAGGCTGGAGTGCAATGGCATGATCTCAGCTCACTGCAACTTCTGCCTCTCAGGTTCAAACAATTCTCCTGCCTCAGCCTCCTGGCATGATCTCAGCTCACTACAACCTCCACCTCCCAGGTTCAAGCAGTTCTCCTGCCTCAGCCTCCTGAGTAGCTGGGATTACAGGCACCTGCCACCACGCTCAGCTAATTTTTGTATTTTTGGTAGATGGGGTTTCACCATGTTGACCAGGCTGGTCTCGAACTCCTGACCTTGTGATCCACCCACCTCGGCCTCCCAACGTGCTAAGATTACAGGCGTGAGCCACAATGCCTGGCCATAAGTAGTTAATATTTAAACATTTGTTGCATCATATACCACAATCTCAGATATGAGTAGATCATATTCATAAATTCTTTCTTAAACAAAAATTATAATTGTGTTTCTGCTGTGGTATAAACTCTCAATTCCCATCAGATAGTTATCTGGATTGGGCATGGTGGCTCACACCTATAATCCCAGCACTTGGGGAGGCTAACACAGGAGGATTGCTTGAAGCCAAGAGTTCAAGACAAGCCTGGGCAACAGAGCAAGACCCTGTCTTTACAAAAAAAAAAAAAATTGCCAGGCACCATGGTTTTTGCCCTTGGAAGGCTGAGACAGGAAGATCTCTTGAGCCCCAACTGCAGTGAACTATGATTGTGCAACTGTACTCCAACCTAGGCAATACAATGAGACCTCATCACTTAAAAAATAAAAATAAAAGACAGTTGTCCTTTACAATGGCTTTAATCTGAAATTCTTTCTGTCTAACTTGGTCAGGGTAGGAGTGATATTTTCCCCTTGAGTGACAGTTTCTTTTTGCAATGTTATCTCAGCCTATAATCCAGTCTGATATTTTAAAAGAAATTTTCTCTCTCTCTTTTTTTTTTTTTTTT